GGGGAGCTTCCTTCCGGGTGCTGGGACCGGCTGAGCTTCTCTGCCCTAGGAGCCTGGGATGGCGGCAGGGGAGCTTCCTTCCAGGTGCTGGGACCGGCTGAGCTTCTCTGCCCTAGGAGCCTGGGATGGAGGCGGGGAGCTTCCTTCCAGTTGCTGGGACCGGCTCAGCTTCTCTGCACTAGGAGCCTGGGATGGTGGCAGGGGAGCTTCCTTCCAGGTGCTGGGACTGGCTCACCTTCTCTGCCCTAGGAGCCTGGGAAGGAGGCGGGGAACTTCCTTCTGGGTGGTAGGACCAGCTGAGCTTCTCTGCCCTAGGAGCCTGGGATGGCGGCGGGGGAGCTTCTTTCCAGGTACTGGGACCAGCTGAGCTTCTCTGTCCTAGGAGCCTGGGATGGAGGCGAGGAGCTTCCTTCTGGCTGCTGGGACCAGCTGACCGTCTCTGCCCCTACCACACTATTTCTAAGAAGTACATGTCCAGTGAAGACACGGGCAAGTTCAGAAAGGCTGGGATGGAAGGAAAGAAGGACACTCCCTCCTTTCCTATTAGTGTAAACAGTAGGTGTGAGAATTCCTGTTTGCTTCCTGTACATTCTCTTCCCTCTGTTCACCTTCCAAACTCTTGTGTCAGCAAGAAATTGAGATAGTCACTAAGACTTTCCAAGTAACTAGCGTAACATTATATACACAGTAAACTAAACACTTATTAACATTAATGGAATTAGAAAGCTGGCTCAAGCCTATAAAACGCAGAACTTGGCAGTTATTAGGCACGAAACAGTGTTCAAAGGGGGTTCACATATTCCTAACAGCTGACTCAACTTCCTTAGAATAACACTAATGCAGTTAAATGGCTCATAACCAAAGCAAATTAGCCAAAAACTCACTTGAGAAAGTAACTAAATTATTTTAAAATGCCATAGGTTAATGGATAAATTCTAAGGCCTCTGAAATATTTTAGTGGATTATAAATTGATGCCTATAGGAAACATTTGTGCCTTTTGTTGTTATTGTGCAGGGGACTGAACCAGGAGCTTTACACTTAGCTACATCCTTATCCCCTTTTTAAAGTTTTTATATTGAGACAAGGTCTTGGTACGTTGCCAGGGTGTGTGTGTGGAGGGGGGTTTGAACTTGTGATCCTTCTGTCTCAGCCTCACCGAGTGCTAAGATTTTAAGTCTCACCAGCACACCTTGCTCTAATTCTGCCTTACGGATGGTGACTGATCTGGAGAAGTCTATCGCCACATTAGGTTCTCTCTGTATTTTTTAAAAAAATCTAGCTAGTTAACATTTTTGAAGTCATGCTGTGTTTTAGATTTGTACATGGCAGGAAATTTGGGCGGCATAGACAGATAAAAGTACTCAGCAATTTAAACTTATAGTAAGATCTACAGCATTTCTTATGAAATTTGAGTTCATTTGTAAAGGAATCCTGAGTGGTATTCCCAAGTCAAAAAAGATTTTCTATCACTGAAAAACTATATTGCAGTCAATTTTAGTTAATTTTTCTTGTAAATTTAATAATTAAATGCCCTTCTGACCAAGGAAGCACATATTAGAAATGCCAAAAAGCGTGGTGGTGGCCAGAATGTAGACACCCAAGTGAATGTTTTCTTTCAAGATAAATAAGGCTGTGGCAGCTGCCACTTACCCACTGGTCCTATGAAACACATACAAAGTTGCTGAATGGAGCAGAGTTTTTTCTGTGTGACCAACTTTGTTTTTGTTTTCTAAAGAAAAAAAGCTTTTGCTTGAAAGAAAACCAATTTACCAACTATGTACTAATTTATGTACACGCACAAAAACACACACATATGAAATCCGTTCACTAGATAAAACTTACTCTCCATAATAAACTTTATTGCCGAATTTATATTTCCAACTTCATTAAATTTATTTTCTATTACATTGTCCTTTCAGATAAAAATAGCCCTTGTAGGAGACACATACTTTTAGTATATTCTGTTTTTAATTACATTAAAACTCCAAACCAAATGAGAATTTAATCATATAAATATAAATGCATTTGTTTGACACCAGAGCTGCAAAAATGATTTGTTTTTAGTAATGTAACCAAGCAGTTATCAAGTCTGTAGGATATGTAATTTTTCTCCATCTTCCTATGGTAGGTAGCTCAAGTTAATATGGAATTGTGATGCTAAACAAAAGCCTACAATTGTCATGATATTAATTTGCTGGGGTGGGTTAAAAGCTTCTATACTATTGAAATTTGTATTAGTGCATAATAAGTGGTATAGGTTCAGACCAACACACTACATAGCCATTTCCTAATAAAAGGATTTGAGACAATAAAAAACTGGAAGGATAGAAAAATATATTTACATTTAGCATCTGATTATACATTCAAAATGGTGAAAAGCAGTGATAGAGGAGTGACGACATTTATGTGAATCACAAAAAAATACTTCTGAACACAAAGCAACAAAGGACACTAGAATTCTAGAGTAATATTCAAGGTGCCCACTTTGAAAAGCCAACTTATAAGTGAAATCCAAACAAAAGTCCCACCGACATTTCGTAATCATATCCTCAAACTAATAACCACGTGAAGTTCAGGGGAAAAAAATCCAGTTCAAAAATATAAGGAGCTTGTTCTTTAAGAAAACACTCAATGGCTAGTGACCACTAGTAAAAAGAAATCTAACCAATTAAACTTCTCATCCTACTCTAAACTATGAAAGCTGCAGAGTCATCATCTGCCTAGGAGAGTCAGCAGCTGTCTCTCTGTACTCCATTTCGCTGAAAGGGAGAGAGCAAGAACACAGGCAAAGTAAAGCCAGAGTCTTCTGCAAGGCGTCTATCTGCACAGCTGGAGACAGGGCACTTGCTATGCTATATACAGCATCCTTGGCTTAGACACTCAAGTGGGCAGTGTTAAGTTGCACTGCTTTGCAATCTAACCATTATAGGCTCCCCACGCAGCTTCCCCTAACCTTGGTCCATAAGCCAATCTGCTTCAAAACCACATCTCTTACTGTCCCTAAAGTGACACTACTCTTCTTCAGCATTACCTAATGGGATAAAAATCAAAGACAATACATTATATAACAAGGTCCAGTAATAGTCTACAATAAAAAGGAAGAACTAAACTTTATATACACTTAATGATTAAGACAGTAAAACTCTACTCCGTTGCAATACTGTCTTCACCTTTATCAAAACTGATTATTTTTGGAGGGAAGTGTTGTCACTGGCTACATTTGCAAGCAGTTTTTAAAATGCGTTTCCAACATCAACATATCGGGGCACTGGCTTGTTTTTGCAGACTAATCTTAAGTAATAAATTTTTAAAATTCTTTTATTCAGAAGCAAAACAAAAGTGTGTGTGTGTGTGTGTGTGTGTGTGTGTGTGTGTGTTGCTTGGATTTCTAAAACAGAGATCTTTGCCTTTGAAGACCTAAACAAAACATTTTCTGAAAGGATAACTAGCTTCATGGAACTCTACCAAAACTCTGGACCAGAAATTACCTCCCCAGAATGCCGCCAGACGCTGATTTCACTGGCCTGAAGCAGGGAAACTCCCAGAACGGAGGGTGAAGCTTATTTTAATTATGCTGCAGAGTAAGTTTTCTGAGTTGGGACTCTCCGGTGGTCTCTGCAATTTGCACTCATAAACATGCGGACTTACCGGGGCACCCGCTCCTGGAGAATCAGGACTCTTGCCATTCTCCTCCTCGGGATTCTGGGGAGTTTCTTCCGGCCCCCGAGTCACAAGAATCCGGAAATGCTGCTGCCCCGCATTTTGATCTTGCCTGATCTTAAACGTGCACCCCTGACCCTGTGAAGTCCTCTCCGTGGAATTTGTCCTGCGGATCTCAGGAGCCATCCTGCCTGTCCAAGGCAGCGTCTCAGGGGCTCCTCGGTCTTCCGTGGGACTCCCCCGGCCGACCCGGGGCTGGGTAGGGTACGAGGTGCTCCTCTCCAGCCGAATGCGGGGATACCTCACCAACCTGTCCCCCTTTGTGCCAGTGAAGCCAAAATTGAAGTCGCTGCCCAGCCCCGGTGCACCTTTTTGGGGCTGTTGCAACTGGAAAACAAAGCATCGCTTCCCCGAGATTCCAGAAGCATCAGGAAGGTGCTGCAGCGACCAGCGCCTGGGCTCTGGGGCTGCATGGCTGTCAGACCCAAAAGGCAGCAGGCGCACCTGGCGCACGTCTGCACTGGAGGCGCGGTGATGGATACGCAGGCCCGGGGTGGCCTCCTCCACGCCATCTGCCAACCCCGGGCCCCGCATGAGGCGGTCACACGTGCCATTGACCTGGGGGTCCTGGACTGCCCTTGGAGGGGAGCTCCCGGGGGTGTCCCTTGGCGAGGGCTCCTGCACACCACTCTGGGCCGCAGTGGCTGTGGCCTGGTCCCCGAGGTCGGACGTGGCACTCGGAGGCCGGTCCTCAGAGCCATCAGGTGGCCCGCACCCGTCAGTGGCACCATCAGTTGCCTTGCGCTGCAGGGAGATCTGCACGGAGGAGCTGCGCGTCGGGCGGGCGTCAATGCCAGTGAGGAGCTGCGGGATGAACATGGACGAGCTACGCTTGAGAGCGCCCACGCCTTCTTGCAGGCCGCCGCCGTCCTCCCCTCCATTCTGGGCGAAGGGGTGCGGGCCGCTCCGCCGCGGGAGGGTGTGGAATGCCATGAAAAAGTCTTCTTCTCTCTCCTGGTCTAGGATCTCTGACTCGGGGGCTGTGTTGCTGCGACCAGAGCCAAAATGAAACCGAAGCCGATGGGCCATGGTGACCAGGGGGGCTGGGAGGGAGAGGGCGAGCAGCAACCAGCCCGGCACTCCCAGAAGTCAAAAACCAAAGACACCAACTCCAAGAAAAAGTGTCCCATCTGCCAAACCGTTAGCACTGCGGCACCAAAAGCGACAGATAGCAGAAATAGCCCAAGTGGCAAGCGGCATTCCAGGCATGATTGGATAAGAGCAAAAAGCTCTCATCTGCACCGTGACAGAGGGTAGGATGGCCAGAACCACATGACCGCGCTCTCCCCCTCCAATGCCAGCTTGTGGACTTAGTGCAATTTCCCCCGTCTCGCTCTTTTTTTTTGTTTTGTTTTTTTGTTTTAAGCAGCAAGAGCCTGAAACAGCACCTTCCCAGCTGCTGCTATTCTGTCAGAAAGGGGCAGCCCAGCAGGGAGCTGGCGCAGCTGACTAAGGCAGCAAACACACCTCGAGCCCTGCTGCTGTAAATTTGACCGCATCACATTCACTGAACATTTCTTTCCCGACTATGCACTGCACTGGGACTCCGTAGCCTGTGCCAGGGTTCCGGTGCATTAAACACAAACACACACTGGTGCCTTCCCAAACACAGCTTGGCTGAAGGGGAAACCCTTTCATAAGCGTCAGATGGTATGTTTCTGTTATTTATGATATCACTACACTACCATGACGGAATGCAAACTAATAAAACATGCTATAAATACAGTTACACACCCCACAGAACTAGTGTCCCTTTAATGGGAAATAATTAGACCATGATCTACTAGTAAGAAAATAGCTAAGTGAGGTAAAAGGGGGCACAAACTTACTACACAGCCAGTTGTGCGTCTAGTTGGCCTCCTGCTCCTCTGAACATTTATTTAAAAGGGGTGTGTGGATCTCACATATAACATGATTGTCAGACACGGAAGTACCAGAGAAAAAGAAACCCAGCTGGAGAAAACATTCATTCTCATATGGCAGGTAGGAGAAAAAAAATACCCGCCCCCCCCGCCCCCCCCCAAAAGAAAGGAAAATTTAAGAAGGTTGTCCATATGGTTTTTGAAGTAATTTAAATTAAATACCATATTGAAGAAATGCCGCCTGGAGCTGACTATTTTCCAGTAAGAAGTCAGCAATTTTAGCACAGTTAGGATACAAACATGGAATCTTCCTATGTTTGCAGTGAGCCAAAAAGGACCTAAGAAATAAAAGTGCACATTCAAAAACCTGTCATCAGATTTGTAGTTAACTTGGAAATATTCTATGTGTTTTAAACTTATTATTTTCTATGAACCAGAAACATCAGTTATTTTAACAAAGAGGTTTATTTAGCAGGAGGTTAAAAAATAAAAGAGTAAAATACCAGTCCACTAAGAGTGACACAAAGTTTATTTTAAAATCAGCAAAGCAGGACTTTGTCCATAGTTCTAGAATAGAGGGTGTGGTGGATTAACCCTGTGTTTACATAAATCCAAACCTGTTTTCTAAAACCATGAGTTCTGAATGCCAAAAATAACCTCTGTGAGAAATGAAAGCTAGTTTGCTTAATGCTAGAACTTCCAAGTACTACTATAGTCACGCATTCTCTTTGCTGGATTAACAGCCAACAAAGAGAAAAGTCACTACCAGCAGCATTCTTTGCATAGTAAAAACACTGCAGATGGCCTGGGGCAAAGCTAAGTATTAATATTATAAAGTGAGATTGTTCAGATAAAGTGTGTATTCATACTGGCATTCTTAAAAGCTTTGCATTCAAAGCTCTTTTTGGTTTGGAAATATAGTTTCCGATCCAAGGCAATGTCATCTTGACTATAGTCAATATTCTAGATCATGGAAATGGGAAGCTTTTTTTTTTTTTTTTCCAAACAAGAGTGATTGCTCTTAGTAAAAGAAAATTAAATGATGAACTTAAACCCATGAAACAAGAAGCAATTTTTCTTCATTTGTGACCCCTTTTTTCATCTTAGAGAATTATTTTTGTTTTGTTTTGTTTTTTGGTACCAGGGATCGAACCCAGGTCCTTGCACTTACGAGGCAGGCGGCTGAACCACTGAGCTAAATCCCCAGCCCCATCTTAGAGAATTATTACACTTAATAAATCAGAGAAAATGGATGAATCTCTGGAGGCCTCTACATCTGCAGCCACTTACGCTTTACTAACCCTAAATATTCCTGATTCACTTTACTGGGTAAGATAAAAGAGCAAGAACTGTACCCTCAGCATAATCTCTCATTCTCAAGAAAGTGACTTCAGATCCTAGAGTGCTGGAGCACCCTTCTAAATCTAAGCAACTTAGGAGGCCAGAGGCAGGAATATCGAAAGTTCAAGTCCAGCCTGGGCAAATTAGCTCAACCTTTTATCAAAACCAACATAAAAAGGGCTGGCTAGGAGTGTAACTCAATGGTACAGCACTTGCTAGTACACACAGCACCTTGGGTTCATCTCCAGTACCAGGAAGAAAAAATTGTAAAAAGTAACCTTATAAAAAGGACTTAGTTGCTAAATGCTACTAATTATCACTCCCTAAGGTACAAAATGTCCAGTTAACTGCAAAGCCACCAGGATCCCCCCTTTTTTTAACCCTTATTTTTAATAAGAAAAAATATTAGGATGGTAGGCCAGAATCTGTTAGTTTTCTATTTTGGAGAATAACCCCAAGCATGCTGGATTAAGTATATTCTCAAATTCCACACTAAGGTTTAAAAGTTCTGCCTATTCCAAAGAACTGACTTGAGATAGAAGAGACAGAGGTTAGCCCAAGGCCCGAGGCCCGAGGCATGTCCTGTGACTGATGTGTTTAATTTATAAAGGTTCTAGACTGGGGTTCTCTCTTCTCTAAGGAGAAGAAGTAACATAACTTGTGTTTTAAGGCTCTTCCTGATGATGTATTCTGTTAACCTCAAGCTATTAAAAAAAGAAAAATTGGGGTTTCAGCTGGGAGTGGTGCAGCACACCTATAATCCTAGCTACTTGGGAGGGTGAGGCAAGGCCAGCCTAGGCAACTTAGTCAGACTGTATCAAAATTTTAAAATGTTTAAAAGGGCTGGAGATGTAGCTCAGGGTTAAAGCACTTGTTAGTGTGTGTAGGGCCCTGGGTTTGATCCACAGTATTTAAAAAAAAGAAAGTTTCAGTTGAATTCTGTAGAAAGAAGGTTAATAAGAATATTCCTTCTAATCAATCAATGTATTTAAGTCTGTTGTTGTTTGTTTGCAGTCTTGGTATGTAACCAGAGCTTTGCACATGCTAGGCAAGCACTCTACCCCTGAGCTAAGTCCCCAGCCCTATCTTCCCTTCTAAAAGTATTTACAAAGGATCTCTTTTGAGAAGGTACCACTTTTAAAATACAGCTTAACTTTACCTGCTAACTATGGGTTCACTTTTTTCTATATATTGTTAGATTTTCATTTTCCCAGAGAGAATTACCATAGATCTGCTACTGGATGCATCACAGAAGTAAAGTCTGGTTTATATTTAAAATCCCCCGTTGGTTTATGTGCCTGATGGCATCTTTATAGATCTGCCTATTGTTCTAATTTCATAAAACCAGAACATAAGCATTCTGGCTGAGACTATCATCAGTAACTTTCAATAATCTTAACTGAAATAAAAATATACATTCATATTCAAATAAATTTTCCATGTTAGCAAACACAATATTTTTAGAATGATAAACTTTAGTAGAGGGACAAAAGTAGTCCTCTCTTTGAGCATGTACAATGAAAGGACAGAGGTTGGCAGGTTCAGCCCTAAAAATTCAATGTTTAAGACATGAAGCAAAATTCAAAAACAAGGACTCACCAATCTGTTTTCGTCAAATACTTCAAACAGGAGCCTGTGATTTGATGGGTTTACCTAGAAGGAACATAAATATTATTTCATAAATGAACAGGATTCATTGGAAAAGCAAAATAAGGGACAGAAAGAATAAAATCATGCTTGTATAATAGACCCAACTCAACTGTACAATAGGAATAATTAACTTAATTTTCTGGAAATTCTGCATCTCCTAAATAAAATTTGCTATTATTGATATCTCTATTATTCTACCTCTAATATTTAGGTATATCAGAAAAGGTTAAAGCCCTTAACTATATTACTAGAATAAGAAAGGATAATCCCAAAGAACTTTCAAGAGTTAATCTATACTACAAATAGGCATCCTCATATCATACCTTCACATAGGCCCCTGCCAGAGAAAACTCCCTAGGCCTACTATTGCTACTATTAATAATGATAAAAATAATTAAGAAAATACTAAAAGTAGCCATCCATCATTATGATTTTTTTAGGCATTATCTCCTTGTTAAAGATCAACAATGCTTGATCTTATTTAATCCTTACAGAAACTGTGATGTGCTGCTATCACCTCAATTTCAGACATGAAGAACTGAGACTATGGGAGTGAAGAA